TACTCCAATAAAGATGTTAAAAAAAAAAAAGAAAGAAGGAAAAAATGGAGAAAAGGAGAGAGGGGGGAGGGAGGAAGAAACCTTTTAAATTCCCCAGCCCAGCAATAACACGGGCAGGTTCAAATCTAAGCTTTTTGTAAATGTATCTGCATATTGACCACTGGGTAGCCTGCTGTTTCCCTCAACAATTGTCCTCCGTAAGGCTCTCTCCGTAAACCAATATGTATGTAAATATCGTGTGTGTTGGCAGTAAAGTGTTCCATGTTAAGAATACACCACAATTTGTATTTAACCGATAAAAAAAAAAAAAAAAAAAAGCACATTCCCTAGCCTCTTCTCTGGAGTCTCTAATTCCGCCCAGTGTGGGGTGTACCCAGATTATTGTTAATAATTGCCCCGGGTCAGGCATATTTGGGTTTACATTGAGGATTTAAATCAGATACCCTTGAATTTGCATCTGGGCTAGGCCTCGAGCGTCTGACCTTGGGCAAGTCATTTAATAGCTGTAATTCTCAGTTTCTTCATGTGTATAATAGAAATAAAAACATCTCTTTCAGCGTAATTGTGAGGATTGTTTGTAAAATGTAACGCAGGGCCTGGCACAAATACAATTTCTCTATATATGTCTTAGGCGATGCTGATCGAATACTACACACTAACAATCAAACCTTTTGCGGTTAGATGGGTCAAGCCCTGTGTTCATAGGCCAAAGAAAACAAGTACAGAGAAGTGTGTGGTCAAACCCAGGTTTTAGCTGGTCCAGAGGCAGTTTTCCTTAAGCTTTGTGAAGTCAAGGTGTTCTCTTAACAAGCTCCCTTTTCTCTTTTGGAGGACAGTACAGGTCATCTACAGAACGTTCCAGTCCCCAGTCAAATTCAAGTGATACCCCTGGGATGAGCAGTCTTTTTCCAGATCAAGCAGAGGCCACAGAGAAACTGACAGATGGAAGGAACAGCCATCCCACCACACACTTGTTTCCAGCACAGCTATCACTTTTTTTCGGAAAAGTGGCGAAGAAGCCTCGTACTGTTCATTAGGAAGGGGAGAAAAAGCTCAATTCTCGAGGGGAAAATAAAGATCTGATTTAAAGCTAATGGCTTTGTAGGAGGCCAGCTGGGGTTAGGTCAGGCCATCCCACCTAGCAGTCCTGCAGCTGACTGTAGAAAGTGTAACATCTCACGACCACTGCGAGACTTTTCCTTGCCAAACTCTTCTGAACGCACTTTCTTTAATTCTCACCATGCTCTTCTAAGAGAGGGGATAATTTACAAACGAGGAAACCGAGGTCCAGAGTGATCAGGTAACCCAGGCAGTAAGTGTGGAGCTGAGGTGCAGATCCAGGCTCCCTGGCTATGTGCTTTGACACTGATGCCAGTACCCAAATGGGTTGGGGACTGTGAAGTGGGAATTAGAAATAATCCAATTTGGTCACTGCCTCTGTGCTCATGGGTGGGGACCATGGGGGAGGTGTCCCTGTACAGGAGGGCAGAGCTCCTCTGTGATGAATACTGTTTTAGAGTGATATCAACATCAACAGCAAAAAAAAAAACCCTGAAAGTTCCCAACTCAACCAGCCTATACAGTCATATGCTAATGCTTGGGCATCCCCTCCTGAACCACTCACCAAAAATTTGCAAGCAAATCGTGCGGAATCTTGGCTCGCCTGTACTGAAAAGTAGCAACATCTTGTTTTCCATCGTGGCTTTTGACCTGAGCCTAGACTTCAACCACAAAGGAAGCAGAAGGCGGCATGCAGCAGGAAATAGGTAGGCACCACTTCCTGAGTCCTCGCTGTGGGCCAGGCACGGCGTACATGCTTTAAGTGTATTATCTCATCAAAAAGTTCATTAAACAAACAAGCAAATAAACCTTTCACTTGCTGGAAGAAAGAAATGTAGAGGCAAAAGATCAGATTCCAGTCATGGAATGACCATTAACCAGCTTCACCATCTTGCCTAAGTCACTTAATCTCTTTGGGTATTTTCTCATTTGCAAGACAAGGGAATTGGAAAGAAGCTCATCAGATGCTCTAAGGACTTGGATTTGAGTGCTGGCCCTACCATATATTAGCACCGGTCTTCGGGCAAGCCATTTAAAATTCATCTGTCCACTAGGTTGTGGCAAAGATCTCAAACTTAGAGAATGTAATAGGTCTTTTGTGCACTTTTAAGCACAAAACAAACGGCAGCCAACACTTAGTAGCGCTTACTGTGTGCCAGATACGGCTGTGAATGCTCTTCATATATTAAGTCATTTAACACACGTTATAGCCCATAAAACAACCCGTTTTATAGACAGTGAAACTAAGGTTACAGAGACGTTAAATAAGTTGTCCAAGGTCACACAGCTAAGAAGTAGTGAAACTAGGATTTGAAATTCTCATAATTACTTAGTTTGAATAACCAATTAGCCAGAAATGAGCATAATGAAAATTGGTGTCCTCAGAAGTAGTGAACTCTCAGTTGCTGTTGGTAGTACAAGGTAACAGCCTGATTCTGCCATGAAGATGTAAATAATGTGGACAGGGATGTGTCACAATTACGGAGCAGTCACCCTCAAATGAAATCCCATCTAAAATATCCATTAAAAAAAAAAATAAGCTTCTGTACAGCAAAGGAAACCATCCACAAAATGAAAAGACAACCTACCGAATGTGAGAAAATACTTGCAAAGCATATGTCTGATAAAGGGTTAATATTCAAATTACATAAAGAACTCATAAGCTCAATAGCAAAAATACAAATAATCCAATCAAAAAATGGGCAGAGGACCTGAATAGACATTTTCCAAAGAAGACATGCTGATGGCCGATAGGTACATGAAAAGGTGCTTAACATCACTAATCGTCAGGGAAATGCCAACAAAACCACGATGAGATATTATTGTAAATAATCTAGAGATGATTTAAAGTATAGGGAGGATGTATAGGGTACATACAAATACCAAGTCATTTTATATAAAGGACTTGAGCATCTATGGATTTTGGTAGTCACAGGGGTTCCTGGAACCAATCCCCTGCAGATACCAAGGGACAACTTTATTCGGGAACCAATAAAAGGAGCCTGATGAAAAAAAAAAATCCATTTAATAAGGTGCTCAGCTAAATTCTAGAGCATTTCCCTAAAGATGTTTATATCTCATGTGAGAAGAAAAATGAAGGAGAAACTGCTTTCATGTTAGTTTGATGGTTTCTAAACCTTTTCCCTACCCTGACAAAATAACCTATACGACATGTGACATTTTGGGATCTCCAAGACAAAGTCGAGAGAAAATTCAGTTTGTCCTTCTGTTTTACCCTATGGCCAAAGAATTTTTACTTTACAAATATCTTCATTTACTTTCATTCTGTTTTCTTCTCTTCCTTATAAAAATGTGTCAGCTCTTGTGATACTGCCTTCACAATATCCTTTCTCTTCCTACCAATCATTTCAAGACCATTGGTCTTGAGACCTGAAATCGTCATGGAGTCATCACATAAACAAAGCGTCCAGCACTCACTGGCTGAGCTCAGAGTGAGAGGTATCCGTTTCCCCACCAGGTGTGCAGGATTCCCTTCCCCATATCCTTTCTGAGGTCAGGGATCCTCTCTAGGCTCCCGTTTGTCATAGATGGAACACTGCGGTCCTGGGAAGGGCTGCTGCTGGCCCAGCTGGTGAGTGGAGGGGCTAGAACTCAGTGCAGGGTTTCTGATGCTGAATCCAGCCCTGCCTTCGCAGCACTGGATTCGCTCTCTCACAAGGATACTATTAGGCGAATCAGATACACGTGGCTAAGAGAGTCCCGTGTGGCATTACGATATAGATCAGAAAGGTGCCGTGACTATGAAATCTCATTTTCCCATATACCATGTAGTGGTGCTGTAGAAACTGGGGAGGACTCTCATAAACATGATGCTTTTATTACCCTCTTACCCAGCTGGCTTTTATTCTAAGAAACTGGGGGTCTGTGTCTTTTTAGTCTTTGATGTTGTCAGTGGATCCCTCCACTCCTATTTTGTTTAAAATTTTCTAACATTTATTCTTTTAGAAAGGATTGATTTGCTCTAATTAAAAAGGAAAGATGAGAAGGAATAAAGGCTCCGTGTAACCAAGGGGCTTGTGTGGTGGCAATACCACAGAGGTAGTTTGTAATTTGACTTATTTTCTGATTTGCTGACTCTAGCTCAAGCCCATTGCCTCCTTGCCAGGCCACTAAGCATGTGTATAAATTGACACGGGCCGGCATAAATCAATTGTTATGCGGGTGGTCGGCTCCATGCCCCATATCAGTCAGGCAAGGGAGGCAAGTGGAGAGCGGTTCCTGTTTGGGGGACTGAAAAGACACCGACATAGGCTTTGTCAAGGCTGGAGAGTCAGAGAAGCCAACTGCAAAGCCAGATTTCCTTCCACAGGATAAACTGACGGTTAGCCTTTAGCGCACATTTAAATCTTGTTCATCCTCATATCCCTGGGCACATCACACAGACACCTTGCAGCAAACATCTGCAGAGAGAGATACAGAACGTAGGTGGGGAGGGAGGAAGGACACAGAGGAGGAGGTATGAGAGGAAAAAGGAAAGAAGATAAACAGAAGTGAGGACTTAGGAAAGGACTGGAAGGAAGAGGAGCAGGGAGGAAGGCAAGGAGGTACGAGGAAAAGAACAGGAAAGAAGGAAGAAGAGAAACAGAAGGAAAGAATTAGGAGCAAAGGAAGGCTCTGGATGGAAGATGAGGGAAGGAAAGAAGGAGAGAAAGAGGAGAAAGGGGAGACATGCAGCAAGGACAGCTGAAGTGCCCCAGAGGAAACCAGGAGCATGAACACGGACTCAAGGGCACCGCCTGGTGGTCATGACCCTTACGTACTTCACCCTTCTCCAACTCCTATTTCACTCAGTATCTATCTGCCTGCCAAATTTAGCACTTCATTAGTTGACATCTGATTCTCAAGTTAGTTCATAAATATACCATTTCCTCAGTTAGACTATAAGCTTTTTTTTTTTTTTTTTTTTTTGCGGTACGCAGGCCTCTCACTGTTGTGGCCTCTCCCGTTGCGGAGCACAGGCTCCGGACGCGCAGGCTCAGCGGCCATGGCTCACGGGCCCAGCCGCTCCGCGGCATGCGGGATCCTCCCGGACCGGGGCACGAACCCGTGTCCCCTGCATCGGCAGGCGGACTCTCAACCACTGCGCCACCAGGGAAGACCCCCCAAGGCATGAGTTTTGACTCAGCAAAGCTTCAAGAAGCCATCTCCTCTGAGCACCACGGCCCTGCCTCCCTCTGAATGCAACTTTCTGACTTGGTCACATATTTCTGATACAAGAAAGCTGAGCGAATGAGAGTGGTTTAGAAGAGGCAGAGGAGGAAAAGTAATATGCAAATACCATTCTCAAGAGCAGAAATAGTATGTAACTGGAAAATGGCCTGTTTGGGGATACACAGTTTTAGGGACCCAAGTGCAATTTACATGCCCAGACTAATTTAAATCAGTTCCTGTCTCCCCTTCCATTTCTGATCATTCATATACCCAGCTGTGGCCTTTGGGGCAATCCTAAGAAAAACGGCTCTGTTACAGGCTGGACTGAGCCTGCTTTCCTTCTTCCGGTCAGCACAGGGGAAGGCAGAATCTAAATGTTATCTGAACTACAGTCGTGGTAATAGTGATGCTGTCTGATCTCAAGGAAACTGTGTTGTGCTAAGTGGAAGTTTTAAAAAGCTCTTTCACCAGAGTCAGCAAACCTCCTGTGTTGCGAAGGCCAGGCCGAGTCCCCTGCTTTAATGCAGCATCCCCCTGACACCCGCTTCGTTTCTGATTAACCAGAGCAGGTGCCCCAGGCCGCTGTGCAGGAGAACCTCAGCGTCGGGGTCTGGCAGCAGCTCCAGGATTATGAGCCTTCTGGCAGTCGGTGCAGGTACAAGGCCCTGGTGGATACTTAGAGGGCAAACCTCTCATTATTTTGTTTTCTGCTTAAAGCCCCAAGGATATGGAACTCCAGGATATAGCAGTAATTTGCTCTCTGGATGAAAAAGCCTAAGTATCCTCTCAGCCTCACTGGGATAGAAAGAATATTCGGTCCAATCCCTGGCACCCAGGAGTTTTAGTCAGAACACTTTTTGACATATTTTTGGGCGTGCGGGAAGAATTCGACAGCTCCACTGAGCATTCTGTCCAGGAGGTGAAGGGCTGTCTGGGAGAGACTGAGACCCTGTATATTTCCTCTGTGAGGGAAATACCTTCTTTATTATCTTCTAAAATAAAGGTATCAGTCTGAGATGAAACGGAATTCCCCTTGACCGAATCCCTTCTGGAAAGGCCCATCATCTAAGGACCAGAGACCAGGTGTGTGAATTCTCTCCTTACTGAGGGAGACCACACAGATCTCACCCGAGCGAGTGAAGGATGGACACCGTCCTGCGGGGAAGAATAGAACGAGAGCTCCTACCCATCAAATAATCAATTATACCTGGACGTGCACGCGCACACACACACGTATGCAACTCACACGTGCACGCGCCTTTCATAGACCTACAGATCATCAACCTGCACTGATGGGCCAGAGGAGACAGGAGCCCTACAATTCTTAGATGAATGATGAGTGGATTCCTTGGCCATTTCAGCTCATACTGAAACAACCACTACTTCTTCACAAAGACTTCCCACTTGGGATTTCCAGAAAGGGAAGGAAAGAAATGTCAACAATACAAGGGAAGGATAATAGCAACAATAGGAATCATGTCTTGAGGGCTTACTCTATGCCAAGCACAGTGGTGCAAGTGGCCTTTCATTTAATCCTCCAGGCAAAGGTAGTGGTGATATTATGAAGAATGGTATTGGAGAAGGAAAAACGAAGTAGGCCTTCAAAGCTTTCTTTCGACAAAGTAACATCGTATCACTCCTCCTCATTTCATCTGAGTTCAAAGGAGCGTTTTCTGTCACCCTCCCCTCCCCCCATGGAAGTGAGGGGAGGCCACAGGGAAGGCAATGACATGATTATGAACGACAAGACTCTCCCAGTCTCCTCCTTCCATCTCACTCTGTATGGTCTACCCTGTCACCAGCTGCAGGAGAATAAGAGGGCATGGATCTCTATGCCTGAAAAACACTTTTTGTTCCAGATGACTTCTCTCAAAGCTGAAGTATAAGGCCCATTAGAAAGGTCAAGCGCGAGCAATCCCACTACTGGGCATATACCCTGAGAAAACCATAATTCACAAAGAGTCATGTACCAAAATGTTCATTGCAGCTCTATTTACAATAGCCCGGAGATGGAAACAACCTAAGTGTCCATCAACAGATGAATGGATAAAAAAGACGTGGCACATATATACAATGGAATATCACTCAGCCATAAAAAGAAATGACATTGAGCTATTTCTAATGAGGCGGATAGACCTAGAGTCTGTCATACAGAGTGAAGTAAGTCAGAAAGAGAGAGACAAATACCGTATGCTAACACATATATATGGAATTTAAGAAAAAAAAATGTCATGAAGAACCTAGGGGTAAGACAGGAATAAAGACACAGACCTACTAGAGCATGGACCTGAGGATATGTTGGGGGGGAAGGGTAAGCTGTGACAAAGCGAGAGAGAGGCATGGACATATATACACTACCAAACGTAAGGTAGATAGCTAGTGGGAAGCAGCCGCATAGCACAGGGAGATCAGCTCGGTGCTCTGTGACCACCTAGAGGGGTGGGATAGTGAGGGTGGGAGGGAGGGAGACGCAACAGGGAAGAGATATGGGAACATATGTATATGTATAACTGATTCACTTTATTATAAAGCAGAAACTAACATACCACTGTAAAGCAATTATACTCCAATAAAGATGTAAAAAGAAAAAAAGAAAGAAAAAGAAAGGTCAGGCGGTTGTGGGATTGTGAATTGGTAAGATCATCTGAATCAAAATTAGATGACAGTGTAGCAGTGTAATCGATACTGACCACTGAAGATTCAGAATGACTGTATGTGTGTGTATTCAGGTCAGCGAGCTGTGGGCCTGGTCCTGCACATCCCAGGCGCTTTGCTGTGCTCTATGGAAGAGCTTCTTACTTCCATTTTCCTTCTCAGCAGGACACTTAGCAAACTGCCCAGTGACAGGCCTAGCATCTCTGTCCCCTTCCAGGGCTCCCCAAGGCAGTACTGGTTAATGCCATCACTTGATTTTCACAGAGGCCTCTCTCACTATTCACTGGAATTTGATACATAAATTGAGCTCTTTCTGTCCCTTCTCTTTCGGCGCACAAACACCGCAATGGGCTAGGAGGGTAGCTGGTCTGCAGAGGAGAAAAACTAGCCTCACGGAAATGAGGAGTAATGTCCTGACCCTGGGTATGACCCTCGAGGGGCATAACTGAGAGGAACTTTTGTAGTCATTTTTTTTTTTTTTCCATTTGGAGAATGATGCTAAAAAACCACCATTAATACAGTTTTCTTGAGAGTCATATCAGAGTTTTATGTTATTTGAGGTGATTTTTCCTCTGTTGTGTGGAGCCCTTAACATAGAATCCTGTGAGAATATGGTCTAAGGATAATGCCCCATCAGTCACCCTGACATGATTTCTCCATTGTTGTGGGAACTTTCAGGCCAACCTGCACTTTTAAATCCCTCATATGCTTTTCAAAGTAATTTGGCATGTGCTGAAAGTAACTGTTATTTTCGATAACTGCTTTTCTTTCTACAAAGACAAAAGCAAGTGAAAAGAAGACAACTCTCTACCAGAAACTGAGTTCTTGTGAAGAAGTACAGATAAACCTCCTATACGCTATTATATCCCTAACGCAGCTCGCGCAGCTTCGACCTGCAGCCAGCAATCAACATGCTACATTTTAGCAATGCAAGTTGAGAAAAAGGATTTACCTTGGAGTCCAGCTGCTGCATGTATGACCAGAGATATTCTATATTGGCTCCAAAAGGGTGGACGTGAAGAAACGTTGATATGATGCCTGAATTAAAAAGACAAACACTGGACATTATTGAGAGGCAAATAAAAGTCTCAGGCGAATAATGTCATCTGACCCCAGTGACAGTTTTGTCAGGCTGAGTCGTGGTCTTGCCATTTCTAACGGCTCTCGGCAAGCATTCAATAACTGCACATTTTGAAGACGGTAATGGTAACACGGCCAACAGAACACTGTCTCCTGGAACGACAGTAGTTGGAAAAGCGAGACTCTAAGAAAACACATGGATGAATGAAGGTATTTCTAAACAAAGACTCCTGGAAGCATTTCAACGACCAATTTTATGCTTGATTTGCCAATATAAAATTGTGGTTATTGGAAGGATAAAATGATCCCTTTTCTTTCCCTCACTAGACTCTGCAGTATGAAAACGGCTCCTACAGCTGTGTCAAATTCCCCTGATAATTACAGCTGCTAGCTACAAAGAGTATTTAATCCATATTTCCCCTCACTGCCACTGAGGCAGGCACAAATCCTCTGCTGTCTCCCCCTGGATCTCGCTGTTGTTTTAAGGGAGCTAGCCTGCTCTCTCCTTCTCGCTGCTGTAATTTACAAGATCGTTTTAAAAGGCCCAGGAACGGACGGTTTGGCTGGAGTCTGATTATAAATCAGAGGGCTTTTCCATCGTGAAATTCAACTGTCAACACTGCACTGACAGATGGAAAGCTGAACGGTAGCGTCGAGGCTGACGTAAAAGCATTACCCTCCTACCCTCCCTGCTCTTATAACCAGAATCAAAATGGTGAAAATGAGGACGTCAACTCCATAGGCTGTATGCTTCTATCTGTTAAGAAACTGGGTTCAGACTGACACTTTTGGCTTCTCTCTGAAACAGGCTTTGAGATGAATCGAATTTGAGGATAAGGCCTCAACGTTCTGTTTATTGTGATGCTTTGGTGCTCGAAAGCCGAAGGTCAGAGGCTTCAGACCCACAGGGCAAGCACAGGCCGAGCACATCGTTCTGCACTAAGTCATGCTATGAATTGCAGGGTGGCCTTGGATTGACCTGGGATAGGGTCTCATGGCCCCCTGATCTCCTGTGTGATGCTTGCGATGCTCTGGATGAGTGTCGGTTTTTAAAGAAAAGTTCTCAGTTTATCCTTAGGCTGAGAGCAGAGACCCAGAGAGTCTACACAAGTACTTTCGAGACCTATCCTCAGAACGCTGCTTTTATGTGGGTTTTCTTGGTGGACAGTGAAATGAGGAACACAGAGACGATTAGTTAACATTTCTCCATAAAGCTAAAACCTCAGTCTTCAGAGACTGACCTTTTCCCTGAAATATAAAGAACTACTGTTTTATTCTGAGATTATGTTCTTCGTTTTTTGTTAAAATGTCCTTCTCTTTTGAAATAATGGTGATGACAGAAGGTAACAATGGTAGTTTTAATCTCTTTAAGTGGCAAATAGCCATTTTTAATATACGTAAGTGGGATTGTTTTGTCCCGCCTCCTACCACTTTGTTAATTTATGTTTTAACTGTATAGACCTGGCAGCTACTTCCCTGTGTCTGAAATTCTCAAATCTCGTGAGGCGGCACTATAAGTAAGTGCGTTACCAATAAGAGTTAAAGTATAGAATCCCATGAATGATTTACTTAGAAAATAAATTAGAATAGAAGTATTTAAAAAAATAACATTTCCATTTGCATTCCTTAAGTGGGAGAGAGGGGGCAGAATTCTTACGGGGAATTGATTTTTTCTTTTGGCCTCGCCATGCTGCGTGGCTTGTGGGATCTTAGTTCCCCGACCAGGGATTGCACCTGGGCCCTCAGGAGTGAAAGCACCGAGTCCTAACCGCTGGACTGCCAGGGAATTCCCAAGGGGAACTGCTTCTATTTCAGGATGGTGAGTGGGGCTTTCCCTGCTGTCCCAGGCTGAGGACAAGTGGTGCTATGTCTACTGCTTTCCACAGAGAGCCTCCAACAAACGGTAGGCAGACCCCTGCCCCCTATAAGGAGGAAAGGAGGATGGGGAAGGGAGGAGTAGTCAGTGCTGGCTGGCTTTGTGAGAAGGCAAGGGTGTTCCCAGTGAGAAGCTTTTCTCTTCTCTTAAATGCGATGCTCCCAGGGAGCGCCTCAAGAGAGCGGCTTGTAGAGACTGGGGATGGGGGGGCCCTGCGAGGCGGCGAAGCACATTCCTTTCCTTGGCTGGACTTCCGCTTAGGCAGCAGACGGACTAATCTGGCTTTGTGCCAGCCGAGCACAGGGGAGGCGGTGGGGTGCTGTAGCCTTGGGTGACAAGAATGTGTGAGTTTCCCATGGGACAAGGGGGTATCTCAGAAGGTAGACGGGCTTGAGCAGCCTTTCAAGTATCCCAGGGCCCCAGCAAATAGAGAAAAACATTTTTTATGTTAATATCCCTACAGGACAAAGAATCATCAACATCTCCTGGATAACCTGCAGCCTCTCCTATAAATGCCCCTGGGAGTGTGACATGAAGTCAGTTAAATGCCTCCAATAGAATGAATAGGATGGTTCAGAAGAGGATGGGGGTGGGGGCTATGGGGGAGTGGCTGACAACTCTTTTTTTTTTTTTTGCCGTAGGTGGGCCTCTCACTGTTGTGGCCTCTCCCGTTGCAGAGCACAGGCTCCGGACGCGCAGGCTCAGCGGCCATGGCTCACGGGCCCAGCCGCTCCGCGGCATGTGGGATCTTCCCGGACCGGGGCACGCACCCGTGTCCCCTGCATCGGCAGGCGGACTCTCAACCACTGCGCCACCAGGGAAGCCCAGACAACTCTTGACCTAAGAAGATGAAGGAGGAAATTCAGGGATACCAGAAGTGGGAGGACCTGGGGTGGCCGCTTTTCTTGCCTCCGTGATGATGGCCTCCCTCACTGTTTACTGTCCCACCGCCCTAATCTTGGGTCTGTAACCCCAAGGAACTCTGCCCTTAGACAGTATTTGTGTGTTCTGGTTCAGTAGCAGGAATATAGTATACAGTTACAATAAATGTATGTTGAATGAATTTATCCTCTAGAACTGAGAATGGCCAGTGTACTTCTTTAACATTTCTACTCTTCTATTATTGACAAATCAGGAGAAATAAGACCCTTAAAAATTGCTACCAGTGCTAACCAAGGATGTGGTACTCTTTCAAACACCAGGTAACTTTGAGGAATTATTCATCAGTGATTCCTGCCCTTAACTCATCCTGTTATGAAGTCAGGACAGAGTAACTTGGATATTTTGGGCATTGGAAACTTTTTATTGAAACTATTTTGCTCATAAAGCTAAGGGGAAAATGCACATGTGATTTCTATATATCTTTCTAAAATCAGATTAGAAACCCTAATCTGGACATGAGTTTTCTTCCCTAGGAGAGTATTTAGAACCATCTCGGTGGTAGCTGATAATAACAAGCCATTAGCTTTTCCTTATAAAAGTTGAGCAGTTGCCACTAAAGACATGTGGGGGTCAAAGCAGGTAGTTAAATAAAGGTTTTCCAAGCTTTTCCTCTGGATGGCAACCAAGTTCTTCAGTATCGCTAGAGATGCAGTGGAAATGGGAACACCCTTAGTCATCCTCCCCCAAGTACTGCACCCCTCCTCCCCCCCTTGATCCTGCCCATGCCAGTGGCATCACAGAAGCATCAGTCACGGCGTCTGAGAAAATGTAGTTTCTAGGCCCTGGCTCTGGATCAGATTCACTTCGGGGAAGCTTCCTAAACAATCAAACTAAAGTCTCTTAAAGCTCCTTTAAAGGAACTGGGATATTTCCTGAGAATGGGGGGAAAAAAAAAAAAGGATAGTTGTAACTCAAAATCCAATGAAAAATGCTACCAACCCAGAATTGGAAACTATTTATGGTTCTCTGGAAGACCATGAACACTGTAGAGGCTGGGTAAAAGGAGCACTAGGAACTGAGGGTGGAGAGCTCAGCCATTACTGAACTGGTGGGTCTCCAAAGGGATGACTCGAGAATTGGTCTTGGCTGGTTCCATGGAGAAGCGAGGTCTCCACATTGAAGAATGGGCTTCCCAACAGTGGAAAACACAACTGTAAGTAGCTAATTTAAGAAAATAAAGAAGGAATAGAGGAGGCTGTCAGTACTCTTGAGTTTCCTGTACAGTTCAGGGCCTGAAACACTACTTGAGAAAGACACACAAACCAGCTCCAGACAGCATGTGGCAAATCCCTCATTAGGAAGAGGCCCATTTAAACAAGCACATAAAGGCATTCTGAGCTTTTCCCACCAACATGATCTAGTTTATTCGCATGTTTAGATGTCACCGAGACCAAGGGAGTGACATTTCAATTAACCAAGTAGTGCTAGATTTTTACTGATTCATTTCCTTAGCAGCAATTAGATGCCAAGGTTCTAGGGACACAGCATTGCCCAGACTGACAAGGTTCCTGCTCTTGGAGAACTTATATTCTAGGTAAGCAACACAGACGATAAATGCAAAGATGAAAAAAGGAGATATTTTCAGAGAGTGGTGGGCATATTGCAGAAAACAAAACAGGTAATAAGACAGGAGTGGGGAGTATCCTCAAGCTTGGTGGAGGGCTGCTTTATAGGAGGTCAAGGAAGGTGAATTTGTCCGTGTGTCAGATGAAGAGGGGTCAGCCACAGAGAGCCTGGGGGAAGGTGACTCAGGTATAGGCACCAGCGAGTGCAAAGGACCTGAGGTGGAAATGGGGTGGCAGGAACAAACTTGGCTTCAGAGTGGTGCAGCATGCATTTAGAGGTAGGTGGGGAGCCAGATCACGTAGGGCCCCAGTGTAAGGGGGCTGGATTAAGCTCTAAACATAGCAGGAAACCAATGGAAGGGTTCTAAGCAGGGGCATGATATGAGCTGAATTATGTTTTCAAATTTTCATTCAAGCTGCTGTATGGTGAATAGACAAAAGGGAAACTGGGAAACCAATCAGAAGTGTTTGCAACAACCAATGGATCACTGAAGAAATCAAAGAGGAAATAAAAATATACCTAGAGACAAATGACAACGAAAACACCACGATCCAAAACCTACGGGACACAGCAA